TACAGAAACCCCTCTTGCCCTCTTTGGCCCCTCTACCTTCTTGGACAGCTGTGGTGTTCACCCAGTGGAGAGGGAACCACCATGTGTTAAGCCTCTTACTGGATGGCTCTCATTTTGCCAAAGAAAACTTCTACCATAATAACTGGAACGTTATACTGTATAACATCAAAATTTTATTCTGTTTCTGCCCTTCTGCAGGAGGTAAAAAAAAAAATTTTTCTCAAGAAAGGTGTTGAATTTAAACATGGATATCATTTCCTCTAATTGTTTCCTTTTTCCCCACCCACAAAGACTTTTTATATCCAGCCAAAATATTAGAGGCCTATTTACATTTTTATTAAAATGATCTTTTTTTCATTTTTCCATTATTATATGTTTGTAGAAAAATTAGAAAATTCAGACATGACAAATGAGGAAAGCAATCTTAGTACTCAGAAGTGACTTTGGTTACCTGTTTTTCTATTAACATATACATCTTTGTTAATTTTTTCACAAAAATTAGAATATTATTTATTGTTTCTAAACTCTTTTTGTATAAACAACCAATAAATCATCTATAGTAAGAGATAACTAGAATACATCTCTTAAGAATATAATTTAACTGTAGTTTATTAAATTTTAAAATTAATACATATGATAACTCATAAATTTTATAAATTTATTTTACAGATATACTGAAACATACAAAATAACATGTAATAAGATAAATACTACAATTTGTTTATAGTAGCAAAAGACTGGAAACAATCTAGATATCTCCACTGAGGACAGTTAAACACATTGTAATATCTTGAAATGGAATGTTGGAATATGATGTGATAAAAAGAAACAGTGGCAGTATATACTAACATGGAGTCATGTGAATAATCCCCAAGTCTTAGTTACTTTTCTCATTGCTGAGACAAAATACTCAACACACAAAGTTAAAGGACAAAAGGTTTATTTCAGCTCACACTTTGTACAGGTTTCAGTTCACAGTTGGCTGGCTCTAAGGCAGGTTGGAATGGTACAGTGGCATCACAGAGGAGAAAGAGCCCATGGTAAACAGGTAGACAACACAAAGAAGAAAGCAGCAGCAGCCTGCCTCTTCCTTTCACCCCTTCTAAGCTACCTGCCTTTTGGGTGGTGCCACCCATACCCCTGTTGGTCCTTCCCATTATGAACACCCAGAACTATGCTAAACTACAGTGGACTGATTTAGTAATCATGCACCCTTAATCTCATCATCACACCTTTAATCCCAGCATCACACACCCTTGATCAGCCTGTCTCCTTGGGACCTTTTCTTTCTGGAATATATTTTCTATCCCTTCACTTTCAGTCTATATATGTGTTGAAAGGTGAAGTGAATCTCTTAATCCATTTACAGTCAAAGTAATTACTAGTAAGTGAGGACTTTAACTGCAGTTTTGTTAATAGTTTTCTGGTTGTTTTATAGGTTCTTTGTTTTTTCTCTTATGGGGTCTTCTTTCTGATAGGTGATTTTCTCAGTGATATGCTTCAGTTCCTTACTTTTTATCTTGTATATCCATTTAGGCTTTTGTTTTATGGTTACCATGAGGCTTATATGAAATATAGACATAACAGTTTATTTTAAGCTGATGAGAACTTAACTTTTACAGTATAAAAAAACTCTACATGTTTACTCTCCCCCCTACATTTTCTGTTTTCAATGTCAAGTTACAACTTTTGATATTGTGTGTTCTTTAACACATTCCTACAGCTGTTACTTTAAAAATGTCTTTTAACCTTTGTACTGAAGACATGATTCACGTTCCACCACTTTAGTTTATAGTATCTGAATATGCCTGTATACTTACTTTTACCAGTGAGATGTATACTTTCACATATTTTTGTGTTATTAATTAGCATTCTTTTCTTTCAGCTTGAAGAATGCTGGTACCATTTCTTGTAAAACAGGTTTGGTTATGATAAACTGCCTCAGCTTTTGTTTGTTTTACAAAGTCTTTAGCTTTAAGTTCTGAAGGACAACTTTTCTGGGTACAATATTCTTCGCTGTGCTTCTTCATCTCTTTGGCTATATCATCACATTGAATCCTGACTTATACATTTTCTGCTAAGACATATCCCCTGCTAGCCTTAATGAAAGTCTCTTATATGTGATTTCCTTCTTTTTTTCCCTTATTGTTTTTAACGATCCTATTTTTGATTTTTGGCAGTTTGATTATATCTTGGTGTAGCCTCATTTGGATTGAATCTGATAGGAAACCTTTGGCTTTTCTGACAAATACTTAGATGTTTATATCTTTCTTCAGGTTTGAAAAGTTTTGTATTATTTTATAAATAGTTTTGCATGTGTTTAACATTTTTTCTCCATCTTAAATTCCTATACCTTGAATATTGGCTCTTCTGATGTAGTTCCACAAATCTTCTAAGTGTTTTTTATTCTTTTAAAAAATTTTCTCTCTTCTCTACTTTAACTATATATTTATTAAATAATTTGTTCTTGCATTCAGAGACTCTTCTGCTTGATCATTCTCCTATTGATCCTCTCTATTGCATTTTTATTTATTGTATTTTTAGCTTCAGTATTTTTGTTTAATATTTTAAATATTTTAAAATTTTCATTTAGATTATTTATTGTTTTCCTGGCTTGTTTAAATTGTTTCTCTATATTTTCTTTAGGTTTACTGGGCTTCCTTAAAACAATTCTTTTGAACTTTTTGTCAGACAGTTTGTATATCTTCACTTCCTTCAGCTGGTGTTCTGCTCCCCTGATGGTGGCATGTTTTCCTGATTGTTCTTTGTGTCTGTGTATTGCCTTCTGTGCATTTGATGAAGAAGGATTATAATCTCGTCTTTGCAAACTGACTGTCTGAAAAAGCTCTTTACTTGCCAACTCATGCAGTCATTCTGGGCAAGAATCCATGGGCAGGCTAATTTGGATTCATTGGGTAGACCTGTTGATTAGGTTAGTGGAGATTAGCCTGGTGATTGATCTTCCAGGGTGCTCCTGCAGCTCGTACCTGCAAAGGTACTACCCTGATGCCTGGATCCACATAGGCAGAGCTTGCTTTTGGCTAACCTTGCACTGAGTCTTCAGGGATGGAGCCAGGAGGGGCCTGGTGCTTGGGTCCATAGGATGGATCTGAATACTGCATCCATAGGTACTAGCACTATCCCACAACATATCCTAATTTCTTCTCTGTCTTCCTTTTCTTCCTCCTTTCTTCTTTCCTTTTATCTTCCTTTCTTCCTTCCTTCCTTCCTTCCTTTCCTTCCTTCCTTTGTTAGCATATCCTTCAAGTAGATATTTGGGTTCAGGAAAATTATTTTAAAGTTTCAGGTACCCTAGAGGAATACTTCAGTAAGTAACTGAAAAATACCATGATGCACTGGTATGGAGCACCTCAGTACAGATTTGCTACTGAATAAAGAAAAATATTTTAGCTCTCTCACTCAGGTCATTACATCTGTAGGAGAAAGAGATGCTAGGCATGCTGTTTACCAGAAAGCTGTTCATCAGTTATGGGTACTGTTAAAATATTCCCAAATCTCTGATTTTACTTACATTAATGGGCCTTGATACTTCTAAGAATATGACAAAAACAACCTATTTCTAACCCTTTTCATGTTCACTTTAGCATTTACAATTAGTATTGGTAAAAATTGCCAAATTTTATTGCTGGAGACACAGGAGAATTTACCCTCAAGACTTAACTAAGGAATTTATGCATTTTAACTTTCTTTCTTTCTTTTTTTTTTTTTGTACCAGGGATCGAACTGGGGACCTTGTGCTTGTGAGGCAGGTGGTGGCACCACTGAGCTAAATCCTCAGCCCCGTGTATTTTTAACTTTTACAAGCATTTCCACATGTGTCATTTCATCTTCCCTATTAATTCACAATATTTATTTTTCAACTGGGTTTTATGTAACCAGGTATCCTCCACTGAAAGGATAGTGCCTGAAGCTGTGGGAGTAAAACTGGAAGCGCAGTAGGACTCTAGGAAGTTAGAAATAGCAGAAACACAGATGTCTGCGGAAGAAAGTTGCAAGCCATGAGTGGAGCCAGCCCAAGAGATTGGCTGTGTGTGGGGCACCCAAGCCCTCTGGAACTGACATCTCACCATGTGGCCTGGATGCCAGATATGAAGCTGTAGAACTTAATGTTTGCCCTGTTGGATTTTTGGTCTTGCTTTGGTCCTATTTTTTCTATCCTTTGCTTTCTTCCTTTTGGAATGGAAATATTTACCTTTTACTATAAGTACTTTGGATTATGTAACTTGTTTTTTATTTTTAGAGAGTTTCACAGCTGAGTTTGCTTTGTATCTTAGTAAGAGACCTTGACTTAGACTTTTTTTGTTGTTGTTGTTATCAGGGATCGAACTCGGGGTCCTTGCGCTTGTGCAGCAGGCGACGAAACCACTGAGCTAAATCCTCGGCCCCAGACTTTTGAAAAATACTGGAATTTCTGAGACTTTGGGGAAGGGAATATTGCCATTTTGCTTATATGCCAAATAGTTGTACTGTATAGGTGGAATTATGAACTTGCTATTGTCTTTATTTGGAGATGAAATATAGTTTAAGGAAATGTGTTTGAAACTCTAGAATAAATTCAAATCGATTAACAGCACTCACAAAAAATTGCATGATTTCAACATAATTTGATACAGTGATCAAATGAGAATAAACATTATTTAACTATTTATTCACTAATTGACCATCTACTGCAAAATACTCATTCTGAGATAATCATCTGTTCCAAAAAGTACATTTTAAAAGGTAAAAGCCACACAATTGGAAATTACAAAATTATCTTCATGTGAATAGCATGCGAAAATAAGTATTATAGACAGCAATCTAATACATAATATGCATTACTTTTGGAGTAAATTTATCCCTGACCTTTCTGTTGCCAACATTCTTAGGATGGTATCACAAAGTATAGAGCAGCTGAGCCTCTCACGGTTGCCATGTTTCTCCCGATCGCTCTGTTAATTAATGCTCATCCTGTTGGAGAACCGGGTCCATGTCTGTTTTCAGTGAGTCTTTTCCATCTTCGCATGGGTTATAATGTGGGTTTTGAGGTTGTTGGATTGCACAAACCTCTTGTTGCAGTCCTGGAAGGCACCCGCGAAGCGCTTCTCCCCGGTGTGGATGCGCACGTGCGTGCGCAGGTTGAAGTCCAGGGAGAAGCGCTTCCCGCAGGCCGAGAACGTGCACTGGAAGGGCCTCTCTCCGGTGTGCACCAGGAAGTGCCTGGTGAGCTTGGAGCTCTCGGAGAACGCTCGCCCGCACTCTGCGCAGACTTGGTCTCGGAGTCTGTACACCACCAGGTGCTTCCGCAGGGCAGTTTTATCCCTCAGCTTCCTTGTGCATCCACTGTGAGAACAGTCGAATGTCTCTGGAGTGCCCCAGTCTTTACTGTCCGGGGGCTTCTTTGCAGCAAATTCGCCAAGCTGTTTGGGATCCCATAGGTCAAGGCCAGGGATCTCTCCAGCAGGAAACTTCTTGCCTGTCATGTACTCAGAATACCCAAGGTGTGAATCCTCTTCAGCTATCAGTGGCGGGGGCTTTGATTTAGCTCCATTGCTGCCTCAGGGCCTTGGGTAGCCTGGTGTGGGCTTGGTTTAGCTCCCCCCAGGCCTCATCCACCCCAGCCTTTCCGGCCACTTGTCCTGGCCCTTCTCTTCGTCTGCCGATTCATGTCGTTCTGCCCGCTGCCTTCTTGAGGGTTCACACCAGGACTACCAGTCACTCCCAGGCACCAGTTATCCCGGTAAGTTGTCTTCAACACACACCCCGCCTGGGCAGGCCCTCTGGGGCTCCCTGCTGTATTTTCTTTCAAAAGGTGAGCAGGACAGCGCTGCAGCTGCAGTCAACGAGGCCGCGTGCTCGGCCCAGGGTAGCATCCGCTCCCGACACCCGCGTCCTGACCTGGCGGCTGCAACCCGCCCCTTGCGCTCGGGGGCTGGAGCCGGAGAGTTAAGGAAATGTTTTTGAGAACGAAGTTAAGAAGTAGGAGGTTGCAGTTCTGGTTGAGTGTCAACTCAGTCGACTTTGGGATCTGCCCTGGGAATTGGTTGAGTGCACTTTTGGGTTTACCTGGGTAGGTCATGGACACTATACCTGGTCCCTCACTCATTCCTCTCTGGTGCCTTTCTCCTGTTTTACTTCCCAGCCACCACGAACTAAGCAGCTTTTCTCTGTGATGCCCCTTTGCCCTGATGTTTCTGCCTTAGAGCCAGCTAACCATAAACTCCATCCCCTGAAACCATGAGCTAAATTAAACCTCCCCTCCTTTAATTTGTGGACCTTGGATATTGTTTGCCAGCAGCAGGAAAGCTGACTAATAGATGTAGGTATGAGTGAGCCACTGAGTCAAGGTCTTTTCCTTGGGACCCTTTTGTTATTGTTCAACAAATATTATCAGAGGTGTGGTATATGGTATATGTAGCAAAGACACAGGAAGAAAAGGAGACAAGTCCAAATTTAGGAAAATTAAATATAAACCAGAAAGCATCGAAACAGGAGCCAGTCTGAAGGGAAAAATGGATAGTGTACCATCAGCAGTCCTCAGAGCTGGGCATGATTACTTGAGTATTTTATCATCTCTAGAAAGGAGATATAGTTTATCCAACACTTCCTGTTCATCTCATATATGATTTTTTTCCCCCAGTACTGAGGATTGAGCCCAGGACCCTCGCACTGAGCTGTACTCCTAGCCCTTTTTTATTTTGAGACAGGGTTTCACTAAGTCACTAAGTTTTCCAGGTTGAACTCAAACTTACAATCCTACTGCCTCATCCTCTCAGACGGCTAGTCATACATTTTACACAAAGACTTTGTGTTAATTACTGTATTGTTGTTTAGTTATCATTCAATAAATATTTATTGAGACTATCATTTGTGTAGTGTTGTTCTAGGCAATGAGGATAGGTTGAGTGTAATGCAGAAAATGATTTCTTCTCTCAGGAAACTTACAACCTGGAAGGAAAGGACAAACTTGAAATTTACTAGGCGTAGTAAATTTTTATTAGCTGATATCAGCTAAATTTTACAACTGATATCAATCAGTCATTGGTGGGATATAATTTGTTTTCAGATTATAATGTCATGGAATAATTTTTTTAATGGTTTGATAAACACCAGATACTTCATTTACTGGCATTCCCAGATCTACCAGTCTGATGACTTCTCAAAATAAGGAAGTGAAATAACTGAGGCATGACTTGTGTGACGTGAATTCATGCTGACTTGAAGTGATCACTGCTTCCCCTTTTTCCAACTCATCTTCTTATTTTAATTTTTTAAAAGTCATTTTTATTTTTTACAGGTTGGGGATTGAACTCGAGGCCTTGTATGTGCTGTGTAAGTGCTCTGCCACCTCCTAGGACCTCAATACTGGAATAATCCTAAGTGTCTTTATTAATGTTTAGTGCCTATCTGCATTTCATTTCTTTATAGTTTTAGAACTCCCTGAAATCTCTCTGAAGATGTTAAATATACTTATTTTTAGCACTTTATTTGGTGCCCTATATTGTGTTTGTTAAGGTTTTAGTTCTGCTGTTTGAGTTTGGTACTGCTATTTCTGTCTTCTTGGTATCTCTTGATTATTTGGCCATATTTGTAAACAGGATACTAATTTGAATATTAACTTGGATACTAATTTGAAGGAGTGTAAGAATTCTTGTTTATGTGGCTGCTAGATAAAGTCTGGATTAAATCAGCTGAAGTGGCTGTGTGTGAATTTTACACGAGTATGGCTTTTTAAAGGGTACACAGGTCTCATTTGCCTGTGACAAGGCCCTGACTCTCTTGACCCGATGTCTATTTTGAGTCTTATGTAAAACCTCTCATGGTGTAATCTGGGATTCTCAAGGGGATCAACCCTTGGGAGGTATGAGAACCAGCTTTTCCTTTATTACTTGTCTTGCCTCTGCCCAGGGCTCACTCCTTCCAGCCAACACTTATTGATTTTGATTGTGAAGTTTTTGCAGAATTCTGCTAAAACTTTTATTTTCAAAGTTCTTTTTCAAGGGTTGGACTTATGTGTAATTTAGTTCTGTTATGTTTCAACAATAATATATCCCCAAAATTTCTCAATAGATTCTATTTCCTAAAACTTAATTACTTCTATTTAATTTTCTCTTCTGACATTTGTATAGGATTTGCCAAGAAAGATCAATACCTATATCCAGTCAGTGTTAGCAGGAAGCCATCCATACCTTTCTGTGGTGAGCAATTATTAGGGAACTCCTCTGGGGATCTCACTCAGTGTGTAGTTCCTAGAAGACAGATGGTTTTCTGTTTTTAAATTAGCATATGACCATATTCATTCTCTTGTGTCTCTCCCAGTCTCTACAGTTTTTCAAGACAGTCCATTGCCGATGTGAACAATTCCTAACTTTAGTGCTCTGGAAAGTACTTCACTTGAACAATGAAAATAACTAAAGGATCTTATTATTCCCTATCAAATAGAATTTAGCTCCATCTTAAATATGCTTGTTTTACTTTTGAGTTATTGGAACTTTTCATTGAAGTTTTTTTTGATAGAAAAAGAGAAACATCAGACACAAGTTGTAAGGTTCTACTTTATTTTTCCTGTTAAATACTGTTTCGCCATGCGTAATGATAAGGAATCCCTTTGTCTGTTGTCTTCAAACTTCAGTTGTTCTAAGGTCTACACTCATTTAAAGAATTGACATTCTTCGCATTTTTCATAGAAGTCTGGCCAGGACTCTCAATTTTTTTTTTAATTTTATGCTTCTGCTACTAATTTTTATAGCAATCCTTCCAAAGTTTGAGGTTTTGAAATTTCTACATGCACAATGTTGGTAGCTTAGGCAGTTTAACATAGAGGATAAAATAAAAGGTCAGGAAGTAAGTATTGAATCATTAGTGATGAAATACAGGCAGTATGACCACAAATTCTGAAGATTCTGCTGGTGAAATTTGTAGACTTCACAGCTCCTCCTGCTTAGGCGGTAGATTTCAGTGGTCAACTTGCTGACGATGCTATAACTCTTCTCTTTTGTGAAGATGGGCCCAAAGCCCCTAGACCAGTGAAGTTTTCTCCTGACTCCTGTCAAGTACACAGTATTTTATTGAATCCAAAGCTCTTTCAGACATGTTATTATACTGAAGTTTCCTTCTCTTATCATAACAATTATTTGAAAGGGTCCAAGGAAGTAGAATCAGGGAGAAATGACTGTTTTCAGGCACAGAGGAAGGAGCCAGGAGAGAAGAGGCAGGTCATTAGATGGAAACATACACTAAGTTCCCTTTCACTATTCCATTTATATGAAATATCAAGAATAGGTAAGTCCAGGCTGGGGATTTAGCTCAGTGGTTCCGCCACTTGCCTCACAAGCACAAGGACCCGAGTTTGATCCCCGGTACAGGAAAAAAAATAATAAAAAGAATAGGTAAGTCCTATTCTTGGATATAATCCACAATAGTGACTTTCAGGGACTTGAGGGACAGCAGAATGGAGAGCAGCTTCTTAATAGGTCCAAGGTTTCCTTTTGGGGTAATGAAAATATTTTTGAAACTAGATAGAATATGCTAATGGAGACTGAACTGCTCACCTTAAAATGGTTACTATGTAATGTAAACATCACCTTGATAGAGATATGTAGCACATAAGCCTGTTGTCTTAAAAAACATGTACACCCACTTCTACTTAGGTTAGCTTTGTAAGCAACTTGAGAATTCTTCATAACAAAACACTACTTCTAAAATTACATGACATTACTTCTAAAATTTCAGAGTATAAACTCTGAAACTTTTTGCTGCAGGTAAAGGTCCAAGGCTTACAGCTGGCTGTGATGAATACAGTCTACTCAGCAAAAAATCTTCAACCAGGTTTAAGTATATGCAGACTACAAATGGTTGTACATTTTAAGTACACTTCTGCTTGGTAACAAGTTAATTGTATTAACATGAGATGAATACAATTTAAATGGAAATTAGAGAAACAAATGAGAGCTATCTTGATTTCTTGACCCTTTCACAATGATTTACAAGAAATTATATAAATATCATTTTAAACAAATACACCGTTTAAGACTTGTCTATTAAGCACAGCCCACCAATAGTGATATTCAATGCTTTTTACAACTGCAGAAGTAAACATTTGAATAACACAGGACTTCCATATTTAAAGGTGGTTACTATAAATCTTTTTTTTTTTTTGGTACCACGGATCAAACTCAGGACCTTGTGCTTGCAAGGCAGGTGCAGTGCTGCTGAGCTAAATCCCCAGCCCTGTCACTATAAATCTTAAAAAACCAGTAGACCTCACATCAACAAGATAAAATTTCTTCAAAACCTGAAAACTGGCAATACTTTTGAATAAACCTATTTTTAAAAATTATGTATTTGTGTATAGATTTATATATGAAAGCATAGAATATTATACGGAAAAATGTTAAGTCTTTATTTTTCTACTTAACTGTAGTGAGCTTATTTTATGATTATTTATAATTTAATCTTGCTTTTCTAATTGTACATTTAAACTTTCAACAGTGAACATATATTATGTGAATAAAAACAGTTTTTAATATTTTCTATACTTCTATATTTAACCTTTTCTTCCTATGCAATCTCTGGCACAATCCTCGCTCCTGGACTTTATTGCAGAGTATTATTAGGGCAATGGCTTTTTCTAGCATCCTCTGGACATTTTGGGTTACTGTCTTCCTTGCATTCTTCAGTGATTTTTTCCCAAGCTGTGTCACTCCTAGGTATCTCTGCCAAATGTATGTGACCTTGAGGAAAAGAGGAGCAATGTAAGGACTCCAGGAGAGCCATTTGCGGTTCTCCTTTCGTTGACATACTCAACCTCAATCAACTGTCTCTTCTTCTTGGTACCAGACCTAAAGCTGCACAGTGGAGCTTTCTACATCTTCCTGACTCAATAGAATATCTTCACGTAAGGGCCTGCAGTAGGCACCTTTTCCCCCCTTGAAAAGAATTATATTTGGACTTATGAATTCTTGTTAAATTTAGTATCCCCTAGTCTCTAAAGGCATAAATTTTAGACAGCTTTAGAGAGTAAGACCTTATGAATTACAAAAAATTGTCCAAAGTCACATCACTGAAATGTTATTCCCA